AAAGCCAAAGGAGACAAACATTTCGGCATATATACGACTTGTCACCACTCAGGGGACGAAAATAAATCTTCTGTGTAGAATATATGAAAGTAACAGAAGTTAGAGAAGGTAGTGAATAAAACACTAATATTGAAGGATGACAAAACTTACAGCCCTTAAAATGTATCAGGATATGTAACCCAGTTGTATTGCTTCATTCTGTGACAAATAACAAATAAGTTCCTAACACTTCATCTGCATGATTCACGGAGAGCCTTAGTTATTATTGATGCATTTCAGACCTGGGAGATAAGCCATTCATTCGAATAGCCATATTATAAGTATATTTGCCAAATAATACCTGCCTTTAGTAATACCCAGTGCTAGAGAAGGGAATGAAATAAAATACTTTGTATGTGTCTGCGCACTCATTGGTATATTGGAATGAAGGTTATTGCAGCTCAAGACAGTGTTAGACAGAGAAAGGGCTGAGGAGGCATTGTGAGGGGCCTCAACGTTCATTTGGGCCTAAACTCGAAGCCTTTAATTTCAGTTTCCTGACCACAAAACACTCCCCTCTTCTTTAATTGCCCTCCCCACAGTTCTGGCTGCCTGGCCCACACTGCCACCCTCTTTTGCTCCTTCCTATGATTCACACACCCCAGCGGTTTGGTTCTGTGGGGCTGTAACCTGAAATAGACTCTCTGTTTTTTCTCTCTCGCTCACAAAACGCCCCCACTTAAACCCCAAAACCCACTGTGTGGCTGGTAAACAAGTTTCACAACCATCTCATCCTTAGATAGAGTCCTCGCATTCTTCAGAGGGAATGGTTCTCTGAGGTGGAAGCAGAGTTTTTTTTTTTTCACACCTTCCATGGGGGGTGGGTGCAGTCCATCGCAACTGTGGTGTGTTGTGTAATGTGTGTAGAAATCGGGTCACTATTCCCTTCTGCCGCAAACCATATACAGTATGTGTACGTAGAGTCTGTGGGGAGTGTATAACCATGGGTGTGTGTGAATGTGAGTACTGGGAACTGGCAGCAAAATCATGGTTTGAATATACAAGGAGATGAAATGCAGGTTTTTGTTTATCTATGTGATTGAAAAAGTATAGGAATATCTTACTGTATCATCATCTTTCAGCTGCCATCAGCTCATGGCAGAATTAAAGAAGAGTTGTCTCCTAGCCATCAGCAGAAAAATAAACTTTCTCCGGATGCTCATACTCAAGTGTAACCATAAAACCCATAGCATCGTTATTTATAATTATACATTGATGTTTAAATCAAGGAGGGTCCTTTTTAGAGCATTTTCTTGAAGGGGGGGGGTTCCCAAGCCAAAAAGAGGTGAGAACCCCTGATGTGAATGTCTCCACAGTCTTCCTGATCAGGAAAAAAAACTGTGCAAGCACATTAGGCGGTGTTTATGGTAAATTGCTTACAGTATAATTTCACTAAAGGATTTTCTGTCTCGCTAGGATTTAGTTCAAATATGATTTTTTTCTGTCGAAGACTGAGAAATGGGGTGTTTGAACTTTTAGGGTATAGCCTCGCACTTTTCATGGCCCACAGGAATGCAGCCTCTGTGGCCTGTTTCTCCCTCACACTCCTCGATGCTGCGGTTCAGATTCTCTCTCTCTCTCTCTCTCTCTCTCTCTCTCTCTCTCTCTCTTCATTTGGAGGGTGGGGGAGAGCCTTGCAAAAGAGAGGTTAAATGAGTTTTCCCCTAGAAGTGTCCTATAGTACAACCGCAAGCCTCTGGAGAAAACCTCTTGGACAGCAGGGCTGCCAACTTCATCAGTTCCGTGCTCTGATGAGGGGTGAGGCACGCTTAACAAGCCTTGTTGCTTGTCTTCTTTGTCCATCAATTTAATCATTTCTGTTACAAGATAATTATCATATTGAATTTATGGAACTTTAGTGCCGATTATTGGAAAAGGACAGCATTGTTTTGAAGCTCTGAGAGGAATGGAGGTCTTGTTCCAGAGGTAGATGTCATCACTTAACCTCTCGGTGACTGATAAGGTGCAAAAATGTAGTGGTTTAGCACATATGAAACTGGCTCATTCAGAACTGTTCTTTGCATGAGCTGACTAATAAAACCCCAGCTGACTCTTAGATATTCTGAGTCTGGGGCTGTAGCAATGGAAGAGGATAACACAAAGACACTTTGGAAATGAAAGAATGCTGTTGAGCTGTTCTAGGCATTCCCCATTTTGCAGTGTGCTTCTCACAATCCATCCCAGTCCTGCACTCTTGGGTTGTTTCTTAATCTTACCTTTTGGAATTTGTGAAATTTGTTTTTGAACATAACCTGACATTCTAAGATTGTATTAAGAGTGACCAGGGTTTGTACGCCTTGTCAGCAAAATAACTCAGGTTGGGAAGCCGACCTTAATGAGCCTGGTTTTGGAAGAATAAGTCACATTTGTTTAAAACAGTTATGACAGAAATAATTCTATGTATAAGCTGTCCGTCAGTAATGAAAGTTTCCTCAATCTGTCTCTCTTCTCTATTCAGAAATATACAGAACATGAGAAGATGCAGTATACACTATATTGGCTGTAGCATGAAGCAATGGTTAAGAACACTAGGCCAAGTCCCCGGTGGAGATAGTGCTTTACCTAGATGTCTTCAGCAGACATAGCTGTGTAAACGGATACAACAGTTTGACAGTTAAAACAAATTGGCAGTTGTAATCTCTGTAAGTCACTTTCTATAGCAGCATTATCCCGATAAATTGATAACACCGTTGTTGTCATTTAAATTATTTGGTAATTTACGGTTGACCGTGAAACACTCAAAGCCTCTCATTTGTGAGAGAGTTGACAGGGCATAGCTGATGAACCTGTTTTCGTGCCTGTTGAAAATCAAGTAAGAAAAACAATGAAAGGAACCTACATGCCCTGCTTATCAAGCAAGCACTAACTTTGGGCTTTTCAATATGTTTGTTGACTGGACAGCGTAGTCTTGATTATCGTTTAGGGCAGGGGTTCTTAAACTTTTTGAGTGCAACCCTTTTTTGCCCCCCCGCCCCCCTCCACACAAATGCAGATTTAAAAATAGTCACATTGTAGAAATTGTAAGCCTACTCAATTAATAATAATTTTATTTATATAGCACCTTTCATACGATTTTTTGCAACTCCAAGTGCTTGTTACAATAAAAAGTTAAATAAAAGCTTCATCCATTACTTGTTTGAGTTCTGGGGGCATTTTCTTAGCCGGGAGGGCTTGTCTATGGATCATACAATGTGTCCACAAAGCGAACAGAGTAACGGCCTGTAGTTTTGTGACTAGCCCACTGTGTTTGCTGGTCATACAGTAGCTAGTGCACCGTCTGAGCAGATTCCCACACCAACTGTTTTAGTCAGTTTCATGCTCACCTTCATACTGTATGTGTCCAGCAAAATGAAAAGTCGATCGGCAGTGGCACACTGGAGAAGAAAACAACAAAATACAAAATCCTCATAAATTTCTCCCTCTTCAACAAATCTGGCGTAAACAAGCATTTGTGCTTCTCCGAAGACATCAGTGGTCTCGTAAAGTTGTAAAGAAAAATACACACTCGAAGCGATCTTCTGCTCTTCCACGTCTCTTGCCATATGCTCATATGCGGTTAGCCACGGTATCATTTGACATTGGTATCAATGATAGCTGCTCTGCAGCGCTTTTCCCACACATGATTGAAACCATTTTCTTAGCGCATGGTAAGAAAAAAGTCTCACCTAACGTGTGTGGCTTTCCAGTTTTGGCAATCTAATTAGCTATGACGGATGACGCTCGAAGTGCCTTCTGGTTCACAGTGGTGGCTTTGTTGACCTTTGTTGACCTACTGTACTTCTGTAGCTTTAGTTAAAAAAACCCATCGTATTTTCTCATTTTTCTTGTTTTTTTTCTGTTCTGAGTGTTCTGCTTTGCGTTTCTCCACATTTTCTTTAGCTCTAACTCTTCCAGTGCCACCTCTATTAAAAAAACGCTCCATTGCTAGGCTAATCACGACAACCTTGTGCAAAAGAAAAAAGTCCTACAAATATAAATGCAATGGTGGCCCACCCAATAGAAATTAATGTAGCGCCCTTGCCAGGCGCACTGCAGAGCAGGCTGGAATCTGTAGCCAGAGGATGGTCTGTGGGATTGCAGAGTGATCACTAAGTCACCCTGTTAATGTAAATAGTTTTAACTGTGCAGGTGTATATAATAGTTAATTGTTTACCTCTGTTATTGTCCTTTGATATGTAACCACCCGATTACCGCCCTATAGTATGTGTTAATCTTTGGTTGATTCTGTCTCTGATGCCTATTGCCCGACCCCCCTGGATTAAGAACCCCAGGTTTAGGGTGTTCACAGCCAGCAATTCCTAACGGTCTGCCAAATGGCTGAAAGGCAGAAGAGCACGTCTGTGTGAAACAGTATGTAATCATTTCTTAAATTCAGAAATCAAATGTCCTTATTTGTATGAATGTAACCTCAAGAGGTGCTGTTTTAGCTTTAAAAAGGGGACATTGGGAATCAATTGTATTTTCTTTAAGAAATAAACTACCTGTATCAATATTTTTTAGAACTGAAGAAGTAATAGTAATAAATAATTACATATAGCACCTTTATATGTAGCTTCTCAAAGTGGTTTACAGTAGGCGTAAAAAAGTCAAAGAAATTGGAGCATCTTTAGCCATTCAGAATGTCTGGACCACAGCTAGATAGAGATGGACAGACTGCAATGAAAAAAATAATCTATGTGACAAAACATCTGTGTGGCATAAAAAGGGAAGTATTGCAGTCCCAAAAATATTTCATCCATTTCTGCTCTATAGTTTTTAAGACCATACTACATATTTTAAAGATTTTAACTGTTTCCTGGATTATATTAAAAGGATTTTTCTCAGTGCATTCAACAAGAAAACATTAGCATGGTTTTCCGAAATGGCTTTAACTTCTTATCCAGTCTTGTGAATGTGCCTCTTTGGTCTGCACTTGTTATCTCTCTGCTGTAACCCATTTCTTTTTGTTTCCCACATTTCAGACAGATGAAAGACCAGAGCAAGAAGGTGGCCAACCTGAAGCACAAGGAGCAGGTAGAAAAGAAGAAGAATGCCCAGCTGCTGGAAGAGGCTCGGAAGAGAGAGGATAACATCAGTGAGAGCTCCCAGCAACTTCAGGTAAAAAAGTGTAATCCCATGCTCACTGGTTTCCAAAGCAGTTCAGGGAAAATGGCAGCCCTCCCAAATGACTACATCTGGTTAAGTATCCATGGGTAATTAGCAGGATCCGTATAAAAATCTTGCTAAATGTTTTATGATTTCAGTCTTTGGCTAATCTATTGTGAGTCTGCTGGTGGCTGTCACAAATCACTCAGGTGCCCCTTAAGTGGTGAATCATGTGAGTCTCCTCCACTATCTCAAGCACGTTGGGATCCTTTGAATAAAAAATGTCATATGAATGCAATCAATTAATTAAGAATCAGAATGCATATAAAAGAACTGCATGTAGGAAGTGTTGTAGGAAGTAGATGAAAGTGCAAAGCAAAACAACAGTACCTGGGCTCTTCAACAATTATTGTGCTCCTGTAACTGCAGAGAGGCTTTTGGCTGGGATTGATACAGCGTCGCCGTGAAGGTACAGTATAATGCAAGTGAGACATTCATAAAGCTACCTCATGTGTCAGTGCTGTTCTTTTATTTTTAGGTTTGTCCAGCAGCATGTGCCTTATTCTTTTTGTGTCGTAGGTCACTTGCTTTTCTCCACAGGTACTTGGATGATTGTGGTACTGTAGATCAAAGCATTTTGTCGAGCTTCAGCTGAAGTAACAGTATTGTTCTGGGCAACATTTTTTTTTATTGTACCAATACACAACATTGCAGCTGGACCATAGAAAAAAATCCACTGGGGAAGGGTGGAAAAGGAAAAAGGCTTTAACCCAGACTAAGTTAGGAAGAATTCAGGCAGGCATGATTTTTATAACCTTTGTTGGATTTGGCCACAAAGTCAGGTTTAGCACCAGCTGCTCTTGCGAAAAAGTGCAATTTAATGTCCAGAAGAAGGCAAAATAGAAGAGTTTATAAATGTGTTTTTGGAGAGATCTGTGAAAGCAAAGCAGTGTGCCTTTATATGAAAGCTGCTGTTGAGTTCTAGAATTACTCTGGTGGTGTTCTCTGGACCCATTCTCACTTGTCGTTCTCATTGTTTGTGTTTGGTTTTATGAGCTTTTTTCATCAGCCAAGTGCTTTATGTGCGATCTAATATGCAGATGTTGCAGTTCTAATGAACCCGGCTGGACATCTGCTCCATTTGAGCTGCTGCGGTTTTGTGAGAGAAGACCCTTCTCCAGCCATTTGCATTCCGGTTGCTCAAGGGAACCCCAACCCTAATGTGTCTCTCTTTAGCCAAGATCAGCAACTGCACTGGAACACAAACATCACTGAGACAAACAACGCCCCCATACTGGAATAAAAGTGTCTTCTGCATCCTGCTTCAGGATGGAATGATTGTGTTTTGGCTCTTGGATGCCCAGTAATTATTAGACTTCTCTGGTACAGAAAAATGGAACATTGTTAGGGTAATGACAAATACAAATTTGCCTGTTGGTTTGGGGTCAGAGTATAAGGTTAATTTAGGACAAGTTTGGTGGCCATAATATAGGTATAATGTTCCTTCTCTGAACTAGTGAATCACTGAACGTGTAGTCATATATTCTCATGTTTCAGCTCATTTTGGATGTTTCCAAAAGAGTTTAGAAAGGCCCTCATGAGTCGGGCGATCGTTTCCATCACAGCTGATGTTGACTTTGGAGGTTGAGGACGGAGACGAGGAAAGACTTGTTTCCCAATAGGCAAAGCTGTATGCTTGCAGTCTGACTCCAAAGGCAGCAGAGGTGCTAAACTGCTCATTGATATTCCAGATGGTGGGTTGTGAAAAAGTCCTTCATGAGCATGAGGGGGGTAGTCGTTTCAGAGATTGTGTGTTGGTTGGCAGTTGATGTAAGAACATTTGATTCTTGAATTGATACAGTCCCAAAATGTGGGACTGTATCAATTCAAGTGTGGCACAGAAAATATGATATTAATAATAATATTCCACACATACAGTATGTCCCCATGTATCTGTTATTGATTTTTAAATGATCCTGTTAACATCAAAACATTTTAAAACAGTGTGTCACCAGTGTGTGGTGGCCATAAACAGTCCAAGTTTATGGTAAACCAGGAAGCCTTAAACATTTGTAGAAAATAAATAATAACGTCCACATTACTCTGACTGAGAATAATTCAAAGCAAGAAGCTGAGCTGCACTGAACAATTTATGAGGTGCATGAAACCAAAAAAACATGCCAGATATATTAATAAGAGTTCACACATTCATGCTTCAAATCATTTACTTAATGTGTTTTTTATCAAAACAATATTTTTTTGATATCCCTAAGAAGTACATTTTTGTTCCAGAATGTTGATGTTTAATAATTCTGAGTCAGAGTAACCAATACAGACAGGTCTGAAACGAGAAGTAATATATTTTATTTTAATATAGTTAAAACAAAGACCTGGACCTGTTTGTAACTGCAGGTTAAGACATTAAAAATCTCTCTTTTTTGACCGGCACCAACCACAATGGAATTCTGTAAACTATCTCTGCTCTTCATCTCATAAAATCCTTCCAACCACATGTGTAAAATTAAGAGTGCATTTTAGTGCTTGGTTTCTTTTCGTTTTAACACCTTTTCTGTTAACAGATACCATGCTTGCACCTTAACAATGGGATGTAAGCAGTGAGTCATGTTTTTGTAAGTAGATTAAAATGCCTGTTGTTTGAAGACCTCAGCCACTCCGAGGCAGTTAAGTGGTCTTTGGGAAAGAGGTGCAGTTAATACCTGTTTTATTGTATGGTTGTAACTCCTGTTGCTTTGTGGTTCGTTGCACTTGATGTATAGACACCGCGTTGGTGAAGGCAGGCTTTTTGTTTCACACCAACATTAGTCCTGTTGCGGCCCAGGGAGCCTGACCACAGCCCCAGTCAGCTCTCATCGGCCTGGCTGTTTCATCTACGGGCTCCGTCCAAGAGCGACAGTGGAAAGTGCGCATTGCAAACCTAATGAAAGATGGATCTTAGCAGCTTTATTTTTTTTTCCTTTTTCCGTAAAAACACCGTACGCATTTTTTCTTGATTATTTTTTGGACATTTCAGCACTCTAGGGGTTGTAAAAATACTGTAGTGTATCATTCCACGGAAACCTTTAAACGTTTCTTTTAGCGACTAGTGGAGTGCTTCTCAGTGAGCGACTTGACATCTTGACAACACCTCTGGACATCACTGTTCTTAATCCCCTAATGTAGTTCAGGCTTCTTTGTGCTATTCTGAACTTTTAAAGGCCATGAAGAGAGCTTTTGTTTCTGAAATACTGCAGCAGTAATCAAAATTCATATAGGAGATGACAGGAGGAAGGTTCATGAACCTTGTGTGAAGTTATTCCTTGTCTGGTACTTGTGGTCTTATAATGCTCTCCTGCGATAACAGTAATAAATGTGAAAAGCAGAAAGTTTGAGCAGTGGCAGAAGAAAAGGCGCTGAGCTCGTAGGGCTTGACCACTGTTGCATTGTAGGAGTAGTGAATTTTTGTTATCCTGTTTAAACAGTCAATCTGACTGTTAGGGGATTATTTCTGGAACTTAAAAATATTCTTGAAACTGTTATAAGATTTTTTGGCATGTTGCTCACCCGCCTGGATTTTTAGGATGTGAAGTGATCCCATGAGTAATGGGATACTAATGATTCTTTTTAGCTTTAGTCTATGCAAGCATCAAAATGTGCCTGCTATTCTTTATATCTGTATTTAACACTTCACACTAAATATCAAGATCTCTAAAGCGATGGTAACATTTAGAGTATAAGTTAGTTATAGTTGATAAACTCTGTGATGTAGCTTGGTGTTATTAAATAACTAAATAAAAGTAAGATGGAAACCAAGCAAATATTAATTGTGCTTCAAATTATTGGTATAGTTTTTGGGCCTGGCTGTTTTTAAAGGCCTCACAGCCGGCTTTTTTCTTTATGCTTTAGCAAAATACTCTTCGAACTTGTATGTTTCCAAACACACACATCTCAGGACGTTAATTTGTGTCTTTCTGTTATTTGTATGCAATTTATTTAGCAGTGTGTTGTGATTAGTAGAAATAAAAATTCATTAAAATTATTAATTTCAATCCTCTTTGTTGTTTCTCAACAGCAGTAATCCTAACTAGAACAAAACAACTCCAGCCCTCACGTAGTGATTTTTTTCAGAATTGTTCTGTTCTTATTCTATGCAGTTCCTTAAGAATAAATATTTATTTTCAGTTTTTATTATCCGCTTCATGATCCCATAATGGATCCCAATTTCATTTTATTCGCTTTTATTTAATGAGGGATTTGGCCTGGATTGGTAAACTGAACAGCTGCCATTTATTCTTTGTTCACAGGGAAGAACTAGAAACTTCATAGGGAATCCAACTAATTAGGTCCCCCCATCTCATGTTACATCTGTATTTTGGCATTATTCCTAGCAGGATATTGTGCAAGGCTGTAGAAGTCAGAAAATATTATATGGGATTGCTAATGACATCTTCATTGTTTTGGAAGGTGTTTCTTTCATAATTACAATACAGTCAGCAATGTCAAAGAGGTTTATTAAACAAAACCAGCTGTTGAACATAAATTTTTATTACGTTTCATTACGATATTTTATGAAAATACATACACAACAGTGCCTGATGTCATTAATAGACATGTCAATAATATGTTTTTTTCCAGGTGAAATACAGTAAATACAGTGGGAGGCTCTGATGATCTGACTGTCAAAAAAAATCCAAACAAGTAGTCTGGCTTCTGTTTTAAGGACACTGATTTAGACTGTAAGGTGGAGAGACCATGTAAGAGGAATTTTGTATGGCATTATTAATTATAGTTCACAGTGACCAATTAATGATATTTTATCTTCTTCTTTAACCTAAACAGCTATATTGTACTAATTATTGTACTAATTATTGAAATTCTTGAAAATATTGTTATTTTAAAGGACTGGGGGTTACCGGTACTTTTATTGTTTTACAAAATGTGTTCTCTTTAATTGTTTTTACAATGTTGTAAGGTACATATCTTTCAGAATATTTTAGTTGATGTGCAGCATAGTC